AAAAAAAAAAAAAAAAAAAGACTACCTTAGATACTTCTTGCAAGCTTATATGTATTCTTAAAGGAACTTTATAGATCTATTTTACAAACTTATATAGGTCTACCATTAGCATATATCTAATTTAGCAAACACCTAAAGATTTCTTAATACAGAGATCTAACAAGAGAATTTTTATAAACTCACATATCTTATTTTCATCGTTTTCTACTTCTTACTCTTAATTATTATCGCTATCTCTATTAGAAAGATTCTCTTAACTAGACAGTAAGTATGTACATCATTTCTAAAGTTTAGAGTTTATAGTCAGCTTTGCTATAAAGCACTGGGATTTAGTGAGTGTTGTTGTTATAGAGTTGTGATAGTTGTTGCTAGGGGACTGTAACCTTCCCAGGATGACGCCACACTCCAAAGTTGCCAGTTCTCTCAGCCGTTCCGGACCGGCAGAGATGCACTGTCAGTGGTAGACAGTTTTTAACTAGAGGCTGACCCTTCACCCAAATTCATAATAGTCCCCTAAGTACTTCAATTCGGACAAACGTTTCTATTACAGCAGTGCTTTTGGTTTGCTCTACCAAAAAACTTCACTTCACACTGAAGGTGAAATTACCATATTTAGCTGCTTTAAAGCTCTTCGCCAAATACTGCACAGCTATTAGGTGATATAAAGTATTTTTCTAAAGGAGCTAGTAAAGCCAAAAGCGGCACAGCTCCAAACTCTTATTTCCTCACTGTTTGCATTAAACCAGTGACAAAACTTCAGAAACACTAATCGAGCCACTTTCATTCTGGTTCCTTTATAGGAACCTCATTGGAGCTGACCTTCCTTAGTTCCACACTCCTTACCAAATGCTCTGGTAACCACCGAGCTTCATTCTCCTCTTGTGAAAAAACACAAACATGTCCTCGACCCCATATTAAAACAGGATCGGGACCCTTCCATAATCCCGAGCAAGGATCTTTCCATTTCACTTGAGCAAAAGTCGCTTGGATGCCACTGTGCCAAAATCTTATATGCGGCAGACTGCTCACGGACATCCATATTCAAAAAGTTCAGAACAAAAGCATGATTTAATGCATTATGTGGTGATTGAGGGTAAATTTCTTCTTTTTCTGTTTTTATTTTTTGAAGTTGTATTTTAAGACTGCTATGAGCCCTTCCTACAATACCTTGTCCCTGAGGATTATAGGAATACCCTGTTTTATGTACGATTTCCCATTGGGTACAAAATTGTTGAAATGCCTTACTACTATTGTAGCTTCCCCAGGTTGTGCACTAGCCATTAAAAATCCTGAATAAGTGTCAATGGTCACGTGTACATATCTTAATTTGCCAAATTCTGCAATATGCGTAACATCCATTTGCCATAGATGATTGGGAAGAAGACCTCAAGGGTTTACCCATAAGTGAGGGACAAAAAAAAAAATATTTTGGACATACCCCACATCATTTCTGACACCTGCACTCAGGCCCGTGGTTCTGATCATCCTCTATGCGGACCTGCTGGGTAAAGCCATGAGGAACCCGAGAACGGGCTCCCACAGACTTCCCCAGTAACAGCCATGTTAAATGTTGAGTCTCTCCTTAGCGTATGGATTAATGGCTCCTCTTCCTATTTCAGGGAACACTGGCTGGGATTTTGATTGGCCTGGCTCAGTTGAACTGTTCAGAGCTGAAGCTGAAGAGGCTCTTCTATAGGCATGGGTGAGTAGATTGACCTGCTTGAGACTTTGAGGTGAGGCGCTAAAGCTAGTGTAAAAGTAAAAGTGCAGTATTTTTACAGGCAGGCCCACCTGCTCTGCGTTTTCTTCAGAGAGTGTAGCTCTGGAGGACCCTTACTGATCCGGGGCTAATGTTTGTTTGAGGGAGTAGAAGTGGTTGGAACAGAGGAGAGTTTCTTGAAATATCTTTACTTTAGGATATTTTAAGATAGATAACTTGCTAAAATAAATTAGCTCATTCAGTTACATGGAAGCAGGTTCACAGATGTGGTTGATGTGGTTGTGATTAGTACCCTGTGCCTGAGCCATGGGGGAGTCAAGAGATAAGAACAGTGGAAGACACTCACCCATGTGCATGTTCCCCAAGCTTTGTCGATCTTTCTCTGTCTGTCTGTCTGTCTGTCTGTTACCTGTCTTCTGTCTGACACATACACAGATTTAGATTGGGAATTTAGTAGCTGAGTTATGTATGTATTTTTGGAGCATCGGTCGTATTTTGTCCTTGTTTATATATAGTTTCCAAACAGGAAAAGTCCTTAAGTATGCACCTCAGTTTCTTCTTTGTATTAACAGTCATTTTCTCTAGTTTGCTAGGTATTGACAAATTGTTCTCATATGCAATCACCGAATGGCTTACTGACATTAAGAAGAACCAACTACCAGGAATCCTGGGAGGTGTTGGGCCTATGCATTCACTAGTTCAATTAGGTGGGTTGTCTTTTTAAATCTTTTTGGGGTTACAAATACCTTGAGAGTCTATATAAAGAGCATTTTTTTATAAAACCTGCATGTGTACTAACATACACATAAAACTTCACCCCTGGTTTCAGGGTCAGACCCTCCCACTCTACACACACACACACACACACACACACACACACACACACACACACACACACACACACACACACACTCACACTCTCAGCCTGCGTTTCTGTTGGGAGCCTGGCCTTTGGGGACCTCAGTGAGAATGAGACAAGGAGCCACAGGGTGAGACTCTTGTCACCTACAGTTCTCCTGTGACTTCTGTGTCTAGTGCAAGGCCTGAAGGACTTGGTGTGGCTGCCGATCGAGCAGTACCGGAAGGACGGTCGCATCGTCAGAGGCTTCCAGAGAGGTGCTGCCTCCTTCGGGACCTCGACTGCAATGGCTGCGCTAGAACTCACCAACAGAATGGTTCAAACCATACAGGTACCGTTCCCTGCCTGCCTCATCTGCACAGATGAGTCCTGTATAGCAGCTACCATGAAGATGTGAGAAATGTTGAGGGTAGACAGCTCATTTATAACCGTTTACTAGCATACTTTGTTTTGTTTGGTCACAGGTGTGCACTACCACACCCTGTTTGATGCTTGGCAGTTGTTTAGCTAGCTAGTACTGAGCATTTAGTAACAAAGTTGTAGGAAACTTGCCAAGTCAGTTTGCGTATTTCAAGAAAATACCACTCATTAAGTCAGCAGGGGGTTTATTTCACTGGTCTATGTAAAAAGATCAGAGCTGAGTTTCAGAACATGTAACAGGTTAACCAGAAGTATTGAAAGCTGCTACGTGGAGGTGATAATAAGAGGAAGGGGCTGAGTAGTTGAGCTCAATCCAGATGGGAGTTTTTAGCTGACCTCTCCTATTCACACTGTGACAGCCCTAAGCTTTTGTTATGAGTGTTTAAGCAGAGGCTCTCTCTACCCCTACAGGAGAGCACTGCCACACTTTTGTGCCCAGCTCTCCAGGCTGTCCTCTAACTAATTTCTTCTTTCTGACAAAATGACCCAGGCAGCGGCAGAGACTGCTTATGACATGGTGTCTCCGGGTACCCTTTCCATTGAGCCCAAGAAGGCAAAGAGATTTCCTCATCACCGGTTAGCCCATCAGCCAGTCGACCTGAGGGAAGGTGTGGCCAAGGCCTACAGTGTTGTAAAAGAGGTATGAAGAGGCTTCAGCTGATGACCAGAACTGGTTTGCATGCTTTCCTAGTGCATTGGTTGGGGTTGCTATTGTTATGATGAAACACCATGACCAAAAGCAACTTGGAGAGGAAATGGTTTATTTCAGCTTACACTTCCACACTATAATCCATCATTGAAGGAAGTCAGGACAGGAACCCAAATGGCAGGAATCTGAAGCAGGAGCTGATGATACAGAGGCCATGGAGGGGATCTGCTTACTGGTTTGCTCCTCGTGGGTTGATGAGCCCACTTTCTTATAGAACCCAGGACCACCAGCCTAGGAAAATGCTCCATAGGCTTCCCTACAGGCCAATCTTATGGGGACATTTTCTCAGTGTCTCTTCTGTGTTCATCATAGAAGCTGTCAAAATGGACCCAGAGAGTTCAGTGGTGTAGGTGACGCGGATCCAGACCTCCTGTGGAGTTGGACCCTGTCACTGCCCAGCATGTGTCCATACCTTCAGCTCCAAGCTTAGCGGTTGTGACAGAGATGGAGTGCTGCCGAAGCAGAGATTTGGGCTGTTTAGGCTCTACCCATGTTCTCCGGGTTTTCTGTGTAATCCCATAGAGTGTTCAGTCGGCTCTTTATAATTGAATATGTTCCATGGCTCTTTTCTAATACGTGGCTAGTAATTGTAGACAGAGTGCTTGCATTCCCATCACTGAGTGGATCTAAGCTTCCTGGTGCTGTATCAGAGGAATCCTCACTTTGGTCCTCTATCAAGAGGCCCTATTTACAGAATTGCATTTAGCTGGAGGGATTAATTGGGGCAGAAGTTGCTTTTAGGTCATGATGTGTTTCTATGTGCTTCCTTGCTTGGAACTAATTAAACTCCATTTTCTGCACACTGGTATCATGGAGAAATGCTAAGCCCTGGTGAGTGGCACTTATAGTGAGTGGCACTTACCTTCATAGTTGGAACCCTGTTAGGTAGCTGAGCGAGAGTGGCTGGGTGTTTTGCTTGGTTTTGGTTTGGTCTAGCTGATGTACAAAGAGGGAAGTGTCATCGCCTTAGCTTCTGACCTGTGCTTGTCTCCTCTTCTGCCTCCCACCCTCTGCAGGGAATTGCAGACACGGCTCAGACCATTTATGAGACGGCAGCTCGAGAACACGAGAGCAGAGGGGTCACTGGTGCTGTGGGTGAAGTCCTGCGCCAGATCCCACCGGCAGTGGTCAAGCCCTTAATTGTAGCCACCGAAGCCACATCAAATGTGTTAGGTGGCATGAGAAACCAAATCAGACCAGACGTTCGGCAGGACGAATCGCAGAAGTGGCGCCATGGGGAGGACTGACGTGTCCAGTGTGACTGCACAGTGTGGGGAGGGAGCTAAGAGCAGGCTGGCCTAGTGCAGCTTCCTAGAGAACGTGTTTAATGTATGTGCTCATCTCAGGAACAAAAGCCGTCTTTAGTTAAATAATTTAATGTCAAAACACATGCAGCCAAAACCTTGTGACATTTTAGAGCCTGGCACTTGCCTGCAGGAGTGGCTGGTCGCTGGTGTCATGGTCAGTAGAGATTTGCTGCCATGTTGAATGCTTTGCTTTCATTAAAGTGACTGTAATTGTACTTGTTACTGACAAGATCTCATTGGGAACATCTTTGTAAACAGTGTTGAGTGCTTAAAAAAAAAAAAAAAGAAAGAAAAAAAGATTGGAGCAATTCCCAAAGCACCAGGGAGCACTCTTGTGGTTCTGGGGAGTTGATTTCTCAGCTCACAGTTTCAACACTTCCGATGCTGGTGAGAGAAGCCATAGCGAGAGCAAAGCAGCCAGGGCTCCAGGGTCTGATAAAGCAGGCCTCGACTCCCCAGGGACCACCTGCTCGGTCACCTGGAGAAAGTCACAGACAGGTCTGCCGAGCTGCACTTTATCCTCTGTGCGTGGGGGTGTGTGTGCGTGTTTGTGCGTGTGTGTTTGTGTGGTGTAACACAGGTATGCCATGTTCTCTGTCATTCACAAGGTTCCATAAATATGGACAGAAGTGAAGATGTCTCCGTTTGGGCAAAGAAAGGTAACCCAAATGTAGTATGTTTCTGTATCCAAATGCAAGTGAAAGTGTGTGCTCTGTGGTGGACTCTGTGTGTCCATTGTTAAGTACATAGTGCAGACTATTAGGAATGTGTGGCAAGGGACACTGGAAGTGGGCTTTATCCTTAGAAAGTTAAATAAAAATACTCCAAATATGTACTAGTCAGCTAATTCAAAGTACCATTTTTACTTGGTTAATAATGTACATTTTGATAACATGTCAGGAACGAATAAAGTATTTTTATTTAAAGGTAAGACTGTTGTATACTTCCATGAATGTTTTGTTTTTCTGAGAGTACATTCATTGATGCAATGTTACTATTGATGATGGGATATTTGGAGACACATCTCAGAACTGATTGTAGTTGCTGCCACTCAGTGTTGAGGAGAAAGGGGTGATTGTTTGCAATCTGCCTAGGACTCAGCAGAAAAGCAGAACTTTGTATTCATCCCTGTTTGGAGTCACATGCTGTCCCCTTTTGGTCTCTAAAGTATTGGTGGGTATCAGGGTGAACTAAATGCCACAGCTGAGATCTCAGTTTCACCCTCTGAAAGCTCTGAACAAGAAGGCAGTGCCAACCCCTAATCCAAACTCTCGAGTTTCTAACAATAGTGCTGTGTGTGTTTGCAGAAGCTTGATTTCCTTTCACTGCTGTGAAACTTCAAAGAACAGGTCTCAGAGCAGCTGCTGGTGGCCTCATGGGCCCTCACGGTGGGCTCTTCTGTACTTGTTAAGTGGAGCAGTGTCTGATACGGCCCTGGGCAGACACTGTGGGTAGTAGTGGAATTTGTCGCTGGGGCTGGCTAGGACCATCTGTCCTTCTAATGAAACATGCAGTGTGTGTTACCTGTCGCATTTGGTCAGACTTCACCCCACATCCTTGGTTATGTTTAAGGTCTGTGAGAGTGGTACCCAGAAGTAACATCCCCTTTGCCCTCTGAGCTGTGTACAGCTCTCTCTTTTAACGAGGTAAATGAAGCCATGTAAGCAAGTGTCTCTATGATGTTATCTCCTGCTTCTCCTTCTTGTCCTTCTGCACCTTGCCAGAGATGTTGATTTGGTCTCGAGGTCTGTGTGCATTATCGAGTCCCTGGTGGGGACTTGTAAGTTATCTATCTGTTGTGTTTTCTTTTGTGTTGTGATGACATGTAGCGTGTTGACAGGCTCCTTGGGTTCCCTCATCTGCAGTTATCAAGTAAATGACTTCACTTGGCCAAGATGTCTCACCTCACTCATCCCCAGTGTCCCTCTGTAAGTGAAAAAGCTCCTTAGGGCGAAGTTTGTGTAAATTTCTGGGCAGTTAGGTCACAGTGGCATAAGCAGAAATAATGGTGTGTGCCTTCCTGCTCAGTAGAGTGCCCAGACCCATGATGTCAGGCTGGTGGCTATGGACACTGTGGCTGTGCACACCACAGCAGCTGTGGGCTACTTCAGATCTCTCTTCTTAGAGTGACACCTTCCTGATCTGGCAACATGCCTGCATGGTTGAGTCTGGGTTGATAATTCTGACTGGAGTAGGCTGCATGTGCCCACACAGAGTCCTCTACAGGAGTCAGGGAAGCAGGCTTGCTCAGGATCACTCAGCTGGTCCAGACCCTGCCTGTGTTGCCTATGGCAGCAGAGACTGAAGCAGTTGTCGAATGGGACTGACTGGGAACCCCGACTTTTCCTGTCTGTCCTCACCCCCTGTTACTCTGAGCAGGGCATACATAGACATAGCAGTAGGTTTCCATTTTGATGAGGTTTCCCACAAGAGTACATATATTTGGGTAATGTGGATTCCCACTTAAGAGTACATATATTTGTCATCAGTATTCTTAAAATGTAAAAGTCACTGTAAGGAAAAAAAAATCCAAGTAGCAATGTTCGTAAGCACAGTATCAGGGCCCATCTGTCCTGCCTCCTGTCCTGTGTCACTTTGAAGGGCTACTGCAGGGTTCCTATGGGACCCGTCAGCTGTGTCTGCTTCAGTGGCTAGCCATCCAGAAGCCCTCACCCCTCCCTGGGTGTCCTGTGACTCGGGACTGGCACCTGAGTGTTTCCACCATTGGGATTGGAAGTGAGGATTCTACCCTGCGATTAATGACTTTCAGGGTTAACCATGGGTTGTCTTAATTGAAATGATATATGCGTAAAACACTGCATAAGAGACTTAGGCCACTCTGCTTTACTTCTGCCCGTGTTGAGTACAGTCCCTCCGATTCCAGGCTTCTGAGGACAGTGGGAAACACTTCCTCCCTTCACATCCCATTGGGAATGTAGAGTTCAAAGTCCCTTGGAAGGACTGAACACAGGGGTGATATCCTTCTGTCTGCAGCTGGACGGACCACTTAGTATCAAAGTCAAATACATATTTGCATCTTGGGTTGAAAAGGAAGATTATTTGTACAGTGTAGAGAAGTGTACTGATGATTTCCTTTTCTTTTTAATCAGGAAGTTTTATTTTGGTTTACAGGAAGGTATAGCCACTATTCTTATAAGAATGCTAGGATGTCACATGTCAGCCTTTGTGTGGACATTTTCAGGATTGTACTGGGCACGCTTACCTTTGAGAGATTCCATGTGCACAGTTGCAGGTCAGCCAGAAATTCTGAATGAGAAATCTTTGAGTCTTAGCGTTTCATATTTTGAATCTCACCATTTCCTGTAGGCATAGGACTCGGAAGCCGACATTGGCCTTCCCTAAGCATCATTGGGATTGGGCAGTAAGCCTCGGGGTGCTGCCTGTCCACTGCAGTTTGGAAGATGTGACTGTATTGTCAGCTGCTCCCTTCCTCTTGGCACTGTGGGGCGAGGGCTGGCCTCTCCCTTCGCAAAGATGTTTACTCAGCTGTCTCACGCGCACTTTGCTGGTTGGAAGTGTCTAGCCTTGTTTGTGTAGCCCATTGGTCCCACTGGGCTGCTTGCGTTTTCATGGAGTTTTTTAGGCACCAAGTTCATCTTTTTCTGTGGACCCTCCTCGCCTGTCTCAGATGTTAAACCACCTCACCACATGGCCATTGTCTTTGCTGAGAATCCTGACTTTCCTGATTATGGCAACTCTGGATGTAAATAAGAATATTCCTCTGTACAAGTATTTTTGTGAAAAATGTAACTTGTTAGTGTGACTATTTAAAATACAATGACGTTAACTTGTGAAAAAATTAAAATATTTCCTCTTTGTTTTTTGCTTTAAACTCGAAGTATTGTGTGTCGCCGAGAACCATTTCCCAAGTCTGCTGGATCCACTTTTGGGGGTGGGTAGACTTCACAAGGATCCATCGTCCTGGCACCTCAAATCTAGTGTTTATATTCCACCAGTTTCTGAGCTGTATCAGGCTATGAAGTTAACGTGTGCCACACCCACGCTGTTGGTACTGATGATTTTATTCATTATCCCTTCAATGTGGACTTCTGGCAAACACATCTTGTAGTGTTGGCCTTAGGGATATAGATAGATGCTTGGTAAATCTCTGGAGGAGGAGGAAGATGCATGGTGTTAATAGACAAATTACTTTAAAAGGGGGTTTGGTGTGGCATGTCTCTTTCTAACCACATTGGCAGTCGGGTGAAAGTGACAAGGCAGGCATCACGTGGCACTTGAAAGAAGGAAGGAAGGAAGGGGGCATCTGTGAGATGCACAGATATCAGCCAGGCTTTCCGGTGTGTTCTCATGGAGGAGCCTGTGTATCCCGGGAGGAGACAGGCCCAGAGGCCTTGCCTCCTGTGATTCCCTTACCTCTTGCTTTCTTGAGCTGCTGTGCATGCATGTGAGTGTGTGTGTGTGTGTGTGTGTGTTCTTATGCATGCATGCATGTGGAAGTCAGAATGGCTTATGGGAGTTGTTCTGAACTTCCACCACGGGAGTTCTGGAGCTCGAACTCTGGTTGTCGGGATTCAGGCTTGGCAGCAAGCTCCCTGATCCACTTAGCCACCTTCCTGGCCCTCTTGAACTGCTGTTAGGAGCAAATTGATTTAATCCCAGCACTTAGGAGGCAGGTGGGTCTCAGTGAGTTGGAGGCCAGCCTGGTCTACACAGCCAGTTCCAGGACAGCCAGGACTGTTACACAGAGAAACCCTGTCTCAAAACAAACAAAAAGAGCAAATGGAGCAGTTGCCTAAGGAGATGGAACACTTGACTGCAGGAACCATCACGCATTTGCTAATCGAGGTCGAGAAGGATTGGGGAGCCATAAGTGTGAGGGGAGGGGCTTGCTTGTTTTGTTTCCTGTCTACTTCCCAGCTGCTCCCTTCCTGGTCTGCCCAGTACCTGGTCCTTCAGCCCTGCTGCAGCCTGACAGAGTGGTTAGAGGCACCTGGAGGGTGTCTGTCTGGAAACAAAACTCGGTCTCTAGTCAGCACATACCAGAATCTGAAAGTAGGTTTAAAGTCGTTTCTCCGTTTCAGCTTGGTATTTGGGGCCACAGTTCCTTGTGGGGAGTAGTCCTGTGTGCTGTAGAATGTCCAGCTGCCTGCCACTAGATAGCAAACACCTCCCTCTTTCCCCCAGACATGCCAACTAAATGTCTTCTTGGGGCGGGGGTCCTCTCAGAAGTCCAAGTAACTTGTGTGCAGTTGCTTACATCTGTAATCCTAGCACTTTGGAGACATAAACATTTGGGTTTTTATTTATATATTTTTAAAGACTTATTTATTATTTATACAGTGTTCTGCCTGCATGCCAGAAGAGGGCACCAGATCTTACTATAGATGGTTGTGAGCCACCATGTGGTTGCTGGGAATTGAACTCAGGAACTCTGGAAGAGCAGCCAGTGCTCTTAACCTCTGAGCCATCTCTCCAGCCCCGGTATTTATTAAGTTAGCCTGGGCTGTGTAGTTCCAGCCTGGGCTACCTTGTCTAAAAATATAATTAATAATAATAATAATAATAATAATAATAATAATAATAATAATATAAAATCAATAAGCTCTGGTTAAAGGCTGACCTGTGGAAGTACTGTGCATCCAGAGGGCAGATCTTGTATCATAAAGCAGAGCAGAGTTTATATGTTTCCCCGTACCCCAGACCCTGTAGAATTTTTACAGGACCCTGAGTATATAAGTAGGTACATATCTCTATATTTACTGATAAGTTATCAGGAAATTTAACTAAACGCCTTTGTTGCACAGCATTCGTATAATTTATTAAAAGTGAGTATCATTTGCATACTAATGAGGTGAGTGTCCTTGTTTACTTTTATATAAAGCAATCTTGACTGAGCATTTGATGCTGCAGAATATAGAGATCACCTGTCTTCCAGAATGGATTGGCATTTTGATTTCATAACGCTCAATGCTGAGAACCCCGCTTTGTGTAAATGTTTTGTACAAAGTGGCAGAGCTGTTTAGGACTATTTCAGAACTACCAAACCAAAATTATTATTATTATTGTTTCTGTTTTGGGACAGGTGGGCTCAGATTCATCAAGTTCAAAGGTGGCTTTGAACTCTTGATCCTCCTGCCTCCCTGCCAAGTGCTAGGATCACAGGTGTGCACCACACCTATCTAATAATAAATGTTGTTGGTTTTGTTTTTTTATATGATAAATATTTTGATGGCCAAGTAACTATTTCTACTTCAGTTTTAAGTTTTGCTTTTCCTGCTTCTGGACTGTTTCTTAAAAACCCTTTCTAGTCTTTCATTCTGGATCTTGTTTTAAGAACAGTCTTTGGGGCTGGAGAGATGGCTCAGAGATTAAGAGCACTGCTTGCTCTTCCAAAGGTCCTGAGTTCAATTCCCAGCAACCACATGGTGGCTCACAACCATCTGTAATGAGATTTGGTGCCCTCTTCTGGCCTGCAGGCAGACATGCGGGCAGAACATTGTATACATAATAAATAAATAAACCTTAAAAAAAAAAAAAAAAAAAAAACAGTGTTCAAGTGCTAGCCTTTGTGTCCTGTTCACTTTGGAGCCAGCTCATCTGGGACTCAGCTGACTCTGAACAACCCAGCGTCACCTGAAGCTAGCAATTTACCGTATGCTTTCTCATAACTGCATTTGTTGTGTGACTCACTGTAAAAGGGACTGTTAACCCCACAGGGCAAGAATAAGACTGCTACAATTTTGAGCCAGATTTGTAGCAAGCTTGATTTTATTAGAGTGCACCCAAGAGCTAGCCAGAGATTGCCTCCTAAATTGGTTGAAGAGAGCAGTCCCAAATCTGTTTCTTGGGCCTCTTTTAAGGAGTAAAATCACAAGTAGTTGCAAAGCAGAGTCACAAAAGAGAGACAATGGGGCAACACAGAAATACAGAAAAATCTCAAACAAAAAACCATGTGGTTGCCATGTGATTAGAGGGGGTAAGTGTATTCTCATAGGTTGGGGCAGGTCAGGCTCTGGAAAAGACTTAAAAACTGCAATTCAGCTCTTAGAGTAAATGGAAACATTTTAATCAGTACAGCATAATGGCTCCTGCCTTCAAAATGGAGTTAGGCGGGTTCTTTAGGACCAGTGAGGGCATGAGATGTGGCAGCTAAAGAAAGAAAGAAAGAAAGAGAGAGAGAGAGAGAGAGAGAGAGAGAGAGAGAGAGAGAGAGAGAGAGA